TATAGCCTATGCTATTCGCTGATAACTTTCTATAGGTGAAAGAATTTTTAAAATCTGTTAGCTGTAAGCAAATCTTTTATATTTATAATATTAGTATAGATATAGATAAAACCTTTTTTTTTTCTAAATTCTTATAAGGATGAGGGGATCTTTCAAATTCATCCTGTACATAGGCAGAACACTTGAATTTTCAGAAAAAGCATTGCCCATATTCACATTTACTTTACATCTACGCTTTCTTTATAAACCACTAGCGACCCGTCGCGGCTTCGCACTTTTTTACAACATTTTACATTTTTGTCTAATCCTAGCGAAACAAATTGACTAAGTTTTTTTTTATATATATATTTTTATTCATATTTATTCGGATAAGGATTTAAACAGAAGTATGAATCACATGGTGTAATTTTGGTCGGTATTTCTATCAACTTTTAAAATGTAAAAAGTGATTATTGTGACATAACGATAATAGTTGAACATATAGTACCGCGAAGTTTTTTGTGGTTATTGATATTTTTTTCAATATCGTAGAACATACTTTTGTTCTATCACCAATAGTTTCCGCAGCGCACGCGACGAAAGATATTTTATAGCATTTTTTTGACACCTTAAGTTACGTTACTAAAGTGTTAGTAAGGATCCTTAATCTTTTCTAGCAATAAATATAGCCTATGTTATTCAGGGTGAATGTAGTTTTCTAATGGTGAAAGAATTTTTGAAATCGGCAAAGTAGTTTTCGAGTTTATTCATTACAAATAAAAATACAAATCTTTTCTCTTTATAAGTGTAGATAGTGCTGGTTAAGGTCACTGTACATTTTTGCCATTTTCCTATTAGCTTATTCCAAAGTGAGAAGGTTTTTTAGTTTATCTTTATTTTTTGTGGGGATTCTATTAATTTTGTACCGATTTTAATGATTTTCCTTACAAACCATGGAACTTGCTACCTTGTTGGTTCCATTTTAATTTTGGGATAATTAAAACTGATGTATTACTTGTTGGAAAAAAAAAAAACCAGCTTGTTACTAACTAGTACTGCGTAAACTAAAACCTCTTGTTTACCGTTCCATTTTTACCTATTAAAACAAATGCTTGATACTGTGAACGCGTCCTTATTAATGCCCCGGCGCAGCTGCACGATGCGCACTCGCTACCGGTTTTGTTGGCTAACGACTCTCCCCCCCCCCCCTTCCCCTGCTTCCCCCACTCGTAGTACGGCTGTATCGATCGACGGTCAAACGGAAAATTTTATAGCCTTTTTTTCTAAGTTCGTCTACCAACCGGGAACAAATTTTGACTTGCCAGTGTTTCTTTTTTTTCTCTCTTAAAAAAGACGGGAATAAGGTTTCTTTTTCTTTTTGTTTCATTAAAAAGCTACAGCACATATTAAAATGTAAAAAACAAAAAGTAGAAATTTCACTTCTTCGACTGTATTTTATTTTCTTTTGTGTGTGTGTGTGTGTATGTATGCATGTGTGTGTTTGCAATGAGATAGGCATCTTTGTCAGCTTTAAACAGATTTTGAATTTTTTTTTTTATTTAATCAAAAAAGTTTACAGCCGTATTCAATAGGTTTTAATTTTTACTTGAAAAAGAGGACGTTTTCGTTTCGATTGTATTGTTTTGTGTATTTTTCACGATATTTCCTATATATATATCTATTCTCGATTGACATATTGAGAAAATTATTCCTCGTTCGGTACATTATTATATTTTATGGTGACCATGGGTAACAGTTACCACTGACCATAAAATAAGTGTCTATAAATTATATAAACAATACTATGATCATTACAATGAATATATAACGCCTAATGGTAAGAATAAATTTATTAACCGAGTCGACGTTGATTTCTAATTAGATAATAATAAAATGGTAACCCGGACTATAGATATACTGTATATAATTTTTTTTAATGGGTGATAATGGAATAGTAACCCCTATCGGTATACACCGGCGGGGCACCAGTGAGAGATGATAGGTGAAGATGAAGCAGGTCAGATAGCCCATCGTGACAAATTCGACAAGAATTGTTCACGATGGTTTCCAGGGGGAACTACGTGGAGGTCGACCTAATAAGGCATATTGCTAACAATCCCTTTCCCCCCGCGCAGGCGGGGTTACCATTCCATTATCATCCAGTAAACAAAAAATCTTACCGCGCCATATACAAAGTAGGTATTGAATGGTTTTAATTTAATATAAAACCATTTTTTTGCGGTTGAATAATGCATATAACATCAACTGGCAATATACTGCAAAACGTACGCTGTATAAAAGGCGATTCTAAATTTAGATATCGGTGCGAGTGGGACGGCATGATTGCTCGTGCGCAGGCACACAGATAATCCAATATCTAGATAGGCATATAATAATGTTTTGTATTTTTTACTTTTTTATTTCATCTACTATGGAGGCTGACAAGCATACGTCTGACTATAAATGGTTATTAAAGCCTATGGACGCCCGTAACCGCGAGGGTGTCAGGCGTATGTGGGTTAAACCTTGAGCAATGTTATTGAAGAACTTCATGCTACCTGGGCAAGGAGTTCACTTTACAACTTTCGAGGATGTAAAGGCAGGTCAGTTAGCCCATCGTGATGAATACACCTGGGATTTAGCACGATGGTTTCCAGGGAGGATCACGTGGAGGTTGACCTAACAGGATATATTGCTAACAATGGGACTGGTAGTCCGCTTTACTAACAACAACCCCCCCCCCCCCCATCCACTTCTCTATAGTAGGTAATATAGAATTTTTATCAAAATGCCAAACGTGGCAATTACTGACAAAGTCCCCCAATAGTAACTGCCATAGCGAAAGACCCCGTTCCTTATGGCAGCCGATGGGAGATAATGGTTGACATGATGACGATGATTTTAAAATATAGCAGATTTTTTTTATGATAGAATGACAAACTGATGGCTTACTACCAGGTTTAAACCAAGGAAGTGAAATATATCCCTTATAGATATTAACAGCACCATGAATATTAAAGATAACAGTGTTATACTATTTGTACCTGTCATACTTTGCTATTCCTGAGAACTACGGTGTTATATACACCCTGTACCCTGTGATTTCACTGTCATATCGCACCCTTCAAACTGAAACACGGTCATGCAAGCATAGTTGCTTCACAGCAGACACGCAGGTAGGACAATATTACCCATGTAGATGACTTTTGTACAAAGTCTCCATCGGGGATATGTAACTTAGAGTTCTGTAATATTGGTGTAAAAAAGTGGTAAATAAATAAATAGGTTCATATTTTTAGTATGAATGTGAATAAGACTCTATTTTCCGCGCTTTGCCTCTCATTTGGGCCATTGTGCGTATGACTCGTGGCTAGTGCAGCCAACCTAGCTCCGCCCAGAAGCGCAGAAGCTTCCTGGATTCTTCACAGGCCTCACGGAGCGACCTCACCGTTCCGAGGATTTCTAAACGTTGATGGGCCACAGCTTCACATTCCATATTTAGAGTATATCATACATATTTTTAGTATATCATATACTGTATTTTCTTTATCGGTTTAGGAAGCAGTTTTAATTACAATAAAGTGTTATTAAATTACTCGAGATGAACTAAAATATCTACCAATTTACTTATAGCATTTTGAAAAGCTGTTTATACAGACTATCTCCTTGATTTGAAGTCGCACTAAAATTATAATGCCTCTTCCATAAATCAATACGTCTGGTACCAAACAGACTTGTCTTGCGCGGGCGCACCCCACCCTCCCCCTCACCCCTCTACGCTGCCCGCGTGCGTAAACGTGACCCCGCCGATGAACTCTAACTACGTTGTTTTTTTTATTTGATCTGTTGAGGTGACGCTTTTAAGTATTATTACAACTGGTTTTCGGGTGTTTATTTTTTTTTTGAAACTAAAATCTTTTATTTATGATTATTATTGAGGTTGACGATGTTTATATTGGTTGTTAGTGGAACATTTTGGCATAGAGAACTCTACGTACTCTCCTAAGCAATTATTGAAAAACGGAGATTTGTCCATCCTAATATTTCTTGGAAGACATCGTTATTTAGCGATAAGTCTACCCATTGTTGCCTTTTTATCTTGCCTTAATGTAATTAAGTTTATGTAACTAAGTATGCATTTTGTTTGTGTAGGTACATATTGTTAACCTTTATAATCAGTATCATTCTTTGAAGAAAACAATAAAGGATTTGCATTCATTCATTCCCAATTCGTTTGTGTTTTTTGTATATTTTTTGTGGTGTAAATTCTAAATTCAATTTGATAATAATTATCAAAATTGTTTTTCAATTTTAATCGAATTTCTATCGATTGGCAAAATGAATAAAATGTAAATGACTGTTTAGTATTGTCGACGTATATATTTGATCTTATAAGTACTTGAAAATTATTTGTCATGCCTATTTTGGTTTACTAATCATCAAAATTGTTTTCAATGTATCTACGTAAACGTAAATAAGTAGTATGCAAGAAATTAGTGTTGAAATTTAAGTGAAATAAAATAGAGACACATTTCACTGTATTTTGAAACCAAAAATTTACACGCGAAGTATATTTAGTCGTGTATTCCGTCTATTAAAATTCATAAAAAAATCTGACTTCAATTATGCCCAAATCTTGGAAAATTTAGATTAAAAACCTAAACTACTGAAGCGATTTTAATAAAATTTATATAGGACCAATCTGTAAGTATATACTTTCAGTTAAAAAAGAATTTAAATAGGTATAAAACTAACGGAGTTATGAGGTAACAAACGTGAAAAAAAAGAACCTCCTTCTTTTTGAAGTCAGTTAAAATAAGTGAAAAATAATTGAACGTGCTTAAATCGTATGCCTTAGTATATATATAAAATATATGTAATATATTACATATATTAAATGAGACTAAGCTAACGTTGTGAAATATTCAAGTAATATTGCGCAACTAAAAATAAATATATCGAATACGAAACCTCATTGCAAGTAAACCTAAAAATGTCACCATAAAAAAAATTGTACGAACTGTCATCAAACAATTCAGTACGGCGTAAAAACATCAAATTGTTTAATGGTTTAATTCGAAACCACTCAGTTATATGTTTGAAATATAAAATGTTTATAAATTAACAGTGTCTTTGTATCTGCAAAAATAAATAATGCTTCGACTCAACACAGGTTTTTGGAAATTGATACTACCTTCTTGCAATGACAGATAATTTTGAGGTGAGTGGGTTCAGTGATTAAGTAATCACTAAGTTTTTAAGTGTGTTATTGATCTCAAACGTGCGGCGAATGTAGCCAATTCTCATCTCATCTTGAGCTTAAAGCGTCATCAGCAATTTATTAGTAGTTTTAGGTGAGGACATAAGAATAAATAAATATTTTTATTATTCATGCATTAATTTCTTCTACCACTAAGTACAGGCCTATTATCCATAGCTACATGCATCCGCTAACTCCGCTAAATGTGAAACAGAGGGAGACTTTGTACAAAAATCGATTGCTTGGGTACCTCTGTCCCATTCGTGTTTCAACCGTGAAGCAGTTGTGTTTGCATGGTTGTGTTTCGGTTTGAAGGGTGGGATTGGCGTGAATTTACTGGGTACAGAGGAATAACACCTGAGTCCTCAAGAATGGCAACGCATGGGGGTATCATGGGTGAAATAGTATACTCTATTTTATCCATTGTACTTTTCACGTCTATAGGCGATGGTTACCACTTTCCATCAGGTGGGTCGTCAGCTTGTTTGCCATTCTAAGTTGTATATAAAAAAAAATTATAAATATTTAATTTATTTTACGTTTTACTCATATTAAAAAACTACTTATCGAAATTAATAGTACTAAAAAAGGAAATAGTATTTTTATAGTAAAAAATTTAAAACAATAATAATATATTTTATCAGCCGTTATCTGTGCATCGCTAAAGCCTTCTCCATAATGAAAATTTTGCCAGTAGTTACCACTCTTAACAGGCGAGTTGACAACCTCAGTTAGGATTTGGTGATGTTTAAAAAGAGACAATGCTGCTCATCCTCCTACGATTAAGTTCCCTTAGTTGCCTCTTACGACACCCACGGAAAAGGAAGGGGTGGCGTGTAGTGACACGGCGATAATATAATATAATGAGAAATAAAAATAGTAATAAAAAATTTAAAACAATAGTTTTAATACATTTCAGACACAACATAATGGAGCAAATCTTCATGATTGAAGTTTTTGTCAAAAAGATCGTATTGAAAATAGAACCACCTCAAAAAGATGAGTATGAACTTCAATTGGAAGCAGAAGAAAGAAAAAGAGAAGCAAAAGCATTAGCTGCGGCGGAAGCTGCAAATAAGGGCAAAAAAGGTAAACCGCCTAAACAAAAGAAACCCAAGAAAGGGAAGAAAGGCAAAGAACCTCCAATGCCTTCGGAAGAAGAAATGAAATTTATGCAAACATGTACCATGCAAATGAACTGTTTACCACTATTTGATTTTTATGTCGCACATGACAATTTTATAGCACCACCGCCTCCACCGCCTCCTCCTAAAAAGGGTAAGGGAAGACCTCCAAAACCGAAAAAAGGTAAGAAAGGAAAAGCTCAACCAATGAAAATTATACTACCCTCTGAACCATTGCCACAACCTCCTTATTTTGGTGTTGGCAATTCTGTCATGTTCCTTTCAAGACCTTCAAAATTGGAAGAAATATTGCGGAAAACTCCAATTTACATAACGGTTTGGAATAGGGATCAAGATATGAATTGTATAGGCTTTTGCATTGTAGAGTGGCATGAGTCCTTCTTTGAGTGTCTCCAAAAAGCTGCTGATTTGAATCCTGTTAATATGCACCAAGCAGAATTCAGAGAAACGAAGAAGCCTGAAATGGTAACGAATACAGTAGAACTGACTCGACCATTACAATGCGAAGAAGATTTAAAAGGATCAGGTGAAATAGATTTTTTTATTAGATTGTCATGTTTGGGTAACAGGGTTATTAGTTATTTTGTTGCTTTACCTGAAATGGAACGTATACCTGGAAGAAAATATTTGACAGATGATTTGAAACTTAAAGATGTTGAAGTAGTGAGACACTGGGAAGGAACTACTATAGATGCCGTACCGCCTGTAGCGTACTTCTTCGGTGCTCCTGACATAACAAGAGAGCCCATAAAACCAAAAGAAGAACCCGTAGTGTATGAAGAATTCGTAGCACCATTTACTAACAGTGAACTTACCATACTCGCTATGGGCTTTCCAAAAGGTCCATGTGGAGGTACCAACTGTCCGAAACGAATGGATTATAGAGGTAGTCAACACCAATTTATTCACGGCGAAACTATTAAAGGAAAATACCAACATGGGCAATTTGTTAATAAAAGAGATGTACACGGTCCTTGTGGGAGACTTGACTGTCCATTAGCCAAAAAAGTCCGTAATTATCTTTGCTCTGAAGGTAGTTATAAACCTTGCAAAAAACCATGTTGTAAGGATTATTACTGATAAAATGTTAAAAAGAGGTCAGAAACTGAATTTATGGAATCTGTACACTTCCCTTCCGGTATTAATAAATTACAAAATCGCATGAAATACAAAATCCTTGCTTTCTTATACCACCTCGTTTCCTTTTTAATATTTAATTAAGAAATTATAAGGGTTACTGCGGACAAGCATCTTTTAGTGTAGTTAAAAGCATTATAAACTACAATTAAACGTTTAATTCTTTAATAGACTGATGTATATGACTCAGAGTGCACGATTTACATTCAACGATGCGAATTAGCACACATCAGAGCGTATTTCATAGCGCAATAAAGTAAACGAATTGTCTTCACTATAAAGTTAAATTTTGCATTTAAAATAAATAACTTTATAATTTTGACAACAAGTGACTACTCTTGCAAAACATAGGCAGCTATTAGTACATACTGAAGAACACAATTAGGCACGCATTCTGTACTGTCCACTTTCGAATTCTGTGGATATTCGTTTTCTTCTTCAAATAGATGGAGTTGATTGTGAACAAATTTATGCCTTTAATAATTAATTTGAAAATAAGTGTATTTTCTTTTTGTGATAAATGCAGTTGGTTCATATTTTATCAACAAACATCGGTATCAAATAGTGTAGTTCGCATCAGCTCTGATATGCGCTTGTTCGCACCATTTGATATAATTCGTCTATAAATAACGTGAACGTTATATCATGAATGTCTCTGCAGTGGACAATGTAGAATCTCCTCTATGCAATTATACGCAATAATAACTGGTAATTATCGCTTTTAAAAATTTGCCGTAATACTATTTGCGATATTTTCTATTACGATAATTTCTAGTAATTGCAAAATCTTTTCTGAAGTATTTAATAATTTAAAAAGAAATGTTTTTAAAGTAGAAAGTACTGTACTTTCTACTTTCGTTTCTGCTTATTATAATCTAATATGACAAGGTTCAAAATTAACTTACATCGAATTTCTGTGAATTCTTAATAATATTTGGGTTTATTATTCAGATTATTTGCAAAACATTATTATTTCTTAGGGGATAGTAGACTACGTCTTTACTATGTTTTGGGAGTTAATTCGATCATTTAGATAAACTATGATAATTTACCTGAATTATTTTGACGTTTCTACCTCTTACAGTGGCAGTCTGATTAGCATCCGCAGTTAGGCTTTAGAGATAGATAGATAGATACTCTTTATTGTTTCCTCCGAAAGATTATAATAGTGAACTTGGGTACTATAAATATAAATAATTACAAGATATAATAGCACTAAGAAAACAATGGGCGAACTTATCGCTAAAAGCGATCCCTTCCAGGCAATCTTTGGATGGATGATAGAAATGTTCCCTTTCCTATGGGTGTCGTAAGAGGCGACAAAGGGAGGACGAGGGATGGGCAGCAGCGTTCCTCTTAAAACATCACCAAAGCTTAACTGCGGTTACCAAGTCGTGTACTAAGCGTGGCAACTACTGGCAAGAACTAAAGGGAGCTCCCTTATGGGGGAGGCCTCAACAGTGGACAGGTAACGGCTAATTTAGTAGTTTTAGTATACTTTTATGGTAGTAGAATTTAAAATATGAAGCTGAAATTTGACTATATGACTATATAAAACACATGACATATATATATTTTTATTTGTTCACAACAATAAATTATTACCATTTATAAATTATGTCTGTATGTATTATGCCAAAATTTGATAACCGTCAATGCCTTATCTGTAAATGATATATTAAGGGTTCTTGTTATGAGTCAATCCACTTTCTCTTCTTTGTATCAATACATTAATACAATATGTGAGTGTCAAGTGTCAATGTAAATCTTTAAAATATTGTTCTCAGTAATGACTTTCGCTTTAGGTTCTTTGAAAACTTCTTTCTCATTAGTATTTGCTTTTTCTTCTTCTGCCCTTTTCAAATTTATTAATAAATAAGCATTATTTTAATTTACAAGTCTTATTTTTAAAATGCCATCAAAATTCATCATTTTATGTCGTTCTTCCTTTACATGAAGAACTTCTTCATCTTTGATAAATAAGTTTCCAGAATAATATCGATCTTATATTAGAATAGGTTTTTGCTTTCTATTTTTAAACATGTGGATTTTTAAAATTTTAAAAAGAGAATAAGTAGTAGTCTACTTCTAGACGACGTAGTTGGATAGATATATAGTTATATAATTTATTTGCATAACTTGCAGACAAAGAAAGAGATAAGAGAATGCATATGCAAAAAAAAATACATAAAAGAAGTAACATAATTTTTCATTTCATGCGTGTAGCACAGTGATACGAAACAGTCACAATTCAGTTTATTGCTTTACCCTCAAAAGAGCAAAACACTGATATTTTATTGTGGCCAAAAGCGAATCGTAGCGAAGCGAAAGATTTATAAATTAGCCCGATCGGGTAACGAACCCTGGACCTCATTTACTAAATGCAGACGTATCCATCACTGTATTACGAAGGCAATGTAATGTATATGTTTTTTTTTTATACCACTGATGTGGCAAACAAGCATATGGCCCACCTGATGGTAAGCGGTTACAGTAGCCTATGAACGCCTGCAATACCAGAGGTCAAATATAGTCAATATCAGGCGATTTTAGAGATGTTTTCTCCCACGAACAGTCAGGTTATGGAATGAGCTCCCTGCCGAGGTTTTCCCAAGACATTACAGCATGGGGCTCTTCGAAAGAGAGGTAAAGAGGTTTTTTCAGGGTCGGCAACGCACGCGTAATTCCTTTGGTATTATAGGCGTTCATAGGTTATGGTCTTACTTACAATCGGGTGGGCCGTATGCTTGTTTGCCACTTCGGTGGTATAAAAAAAAAAAAACAATAAAATCGCACTATTGTGATATCATATCATTGCGATATTGAAAAAATAAAAAAAGAACACCCAAAAAAATATTATCAGCATAATTAACAAAATTCGCCTTGACCCACTTGTTGATAAATGTTTATCAAATAAAGCAAAAAAATTCGGAGCTTTATTTTATGGGAATTAAGATTGTTAATCTTCACACAAATTAAAAACTAAACGTCCAACAATGTGGAGTCACCATTGTTTTTATTTGCCCAGGACATGTCCCGATTTTAGTATATTTTATAACATAAGACAAGTGTCTAACAAATTTACTTGTTTAAGAAAAAGTCTATGAATATCTTTTAAGTAAGCTGTGAAATATAGAAAAGATAAAGGAAACACTAGGCGTCATGTCGTATAGGGAGATAAAGGATATGGCCTGGGATAGAGCTGGCTGGAGGAAGATGCATGAATTAGTTGCACCGACAAGAGGAAACTCTTAAATGAAGAGAAAGAAGCTGTGAAAGCAGTTCATCGTCTTCATCATCATCACCTTTGATCTCTACCGTTGTTTATTAGATTTATAGTAAATTCTCGTGTATGTATGTATATTTATATTTGTATGTTTTTTTATACAACTTAGAATGGCAAACAAGCTGACGGCCCACCTGATGGAAAGTGGTAACCGTCGTCTATAGACATGAGCAGTACCATGGACATAACAGAGTATACTGTTTCGCCCATGATACCCCCATTCGTTGCCACTCCTGAGGATACAGATGTTATTTACCAGAGGGAGACTTTGTACAAAAGTCGATTGCTTGGGTACCTCTGTCCCATTCGTGTTTCAACCGTAAAGCAGTTGTGTTTGCATGGCTGTGTTTCGGTTTGAAGGGTGGAATATGGCGTGAATTTACTGGGTACGGAGGAATAACACCCGAGTCCTCAGGAATGGCAACGCATGGGGGGTATCATGGTCGAAACAGTATACTCTGTTATGTCCATGGTACTGCTCATGTCTATAGGCGACGGTTACCATTTTCCATCAGGTGGGCCGTCAGGTTGTTTGCCATTCTAAGTTGTATAAAAAAAAAAAGAAAAAAAAACCCTATAAATATGGTTTTTATTCGAAGATAGCAACCCTACATTAAGAAATATTTTAATATCTTTGTTCTTTTACAATGTATGTCCATGTAAAACATGGTAACCATTCAGTTTTGATATTTGCATCAGCGTCACGCTCTCTGATTATGGATAAAGCGATTCCATAATTACCTTTTGAATGGTTTTTATTGCTTTTTAAAGGCGGCCACGTTATCATTTGGATCTTTTTCGTTACCGACTTTTAACTTCGATCGTGTAATGATAATACTAAAATCAGGATCATTGTTCGTATGTTGATAAATAATATTGCTTTAGCTCGTGGATTTCCTTATAGATTTATGAGATAGAGAGAGAAATAAAATAAGCTATATATTGCAAAATTTATGTTTTTTTGTTCCTTATATTTTAGGAATCTATATTAATAGTATTAAGAGGAAAGATTTGATTGTTTGTTTGTTATAATGGATAAACTACTCAGTCTATATTAAAAATTCTTTTACCTATAACCACATGGAGGTCGACCTGATAGGGTATATTGCTAGCAATGGGACTGGTAGTCCGCATTACTAACAATCCCTTTCCCCGGTCCAGTTTGTTTTTTTTAACGCAACAGAAACAATTCACGAATGTTTCTGACTAACCCGTTAACAATTATAGTCGTGAGGATATTTATTTATTTTATTACAGTCTGCATAATATCTGTAACTGTTGGTAAATTACAACAATCTACGTACAAACTATTACGTTTCATAATGCAAAACTCATTTGCCTTTCAATTACACTAATATATTCAAATTGGCGTGCACAGTGCAGTATTATGCGTATGCAACTAGATATTTGCCACAAGGACGTTTTGATAATGTTACATTTATAATTATAGTTGCAAACACAATAGATGATGGTATTTCGTACATGTTTTGTATTTTTTGTTACTAGGTTTAGGTAGAATTTTCGAAAATAACATTATATCCTTTGTTATTCATTGATAATGAAGCTGTCTATAAATGAAAGGATTTTAAAAATCAATTGTGTATTTTTGGGTTTTAATATCATATCAGCCTTTAACTGTCCACTGCTGAATATAAGCCTCCCTCTTGGGGGTTTTCGCCAGTAGTTGCCACGCTTGGCAAGCGGATTGGCAACCGCAGTTAGGTTTTAGAGATA